TCTAGAGTATTAAGTTAAAAACAGAGTAACGCTTTAAGCAAGATGACATGATGTAGAGAGATAAATTCATGCAATATGAAATAAACCCCATCTTGTTATCCTCGATGGCAACGATACAATACGTGTCTTGCTGCCCCTTCTGTCACTGGGAAAGAACACCGCAAGATCGAACCAAAAGCTAATCACTTCTCCCATGGCAAGAACTACCAATCTAGTTGGCCAAACCAAACGGATAATTCGAAGAGACTTGCAAAGATAACCAATCATACATAAAAGAATTCAGAGAAGATTCAAATATTGTTCATAGATAGACTTGATCATAAACCCACAATTCATCGGTCTCAACAAACACACCACAAAAGAAGAAGATTACATCGAATAGATCTCCACAAGAGAGGGGAAGAACATTGTATTGAGATCCAAAAAGAGAGGAGAAGCCATCTAGCTAATAACTATGGACCCGAAGGTCTAAGGTAAACTACTCACACTTCATCAGAGGGGCTATGATGATGTAGAAGCCCTCCGTGATGACGGCCCTCTCCGGCGGAGCTCCGGAACAGGCCCCAAGATGGGATCTCGTGGATACAGAAAGTTGCGACGGTGGAATTAGGTTTTTGGCTCCTGTTCTGATCGTTTGGGGGTATGTGGATATATATAGGAGGAAGGAGTACGTCGGTGGAGCACCGAGGGGCCCACGAGGCAGGGGGCGCGCCCTGTAGGGGGGGCGCCCCCTACCCTCGTGACCGCCTCCGGTACTTCTTGGAGTAGGGTCCAAGTCTCCTGGGTCTTATCCGAGAAGAAAATCACGTTCCAAAAAGGATTTTTCTGTTTGGACTCCGTTTGATATTCTGTTTCTTTGAAACACTGAAATAGGCAAAAAAATAGCAATTCTGGGCTGGGCCTCCGGTTAATAGGTTAGTCCCAAAAATAATATAAAATTGGAAAATAAAGCCCAATATAGTCCAAAACAGTAGATAATATAGCATTGAGCAATCAAAAATTATAGATACGTTAGAGACGTATCAGGCATCATGCCATGTTATGTGATGGTTGTTTATTATGTTGTTTGCTTCTTTCCGGTGTTGCTTCTTCGGGTTGGTTCCGATAATGTCATGTTTGTGAGGATCCGTTCGACTACGTCCGTTTGTCTTCTTCATGGACTTGTTCTTCTTCCTTGCGGGATTTCAGGCAAGATGACCATACCCTCGAAATCACTTCTATCTTTGCTTGCTAGATGCTCGCTCTTTTGCTATGCCTATGCGGCGATACCTACCACTTGCTTATCATGCCTCCCATATTGTTGAGCCAAGCCTCTAACCCACCTTGTCCTAGAAAACCATTGTTTGGCTATGTTACCGCTTTGCTCAGCCCCTCTTATAGCGTTGTTAGTTGCAGGTGAAGGTTGGAGCTTGTTCCATGTTTGGAACATGGATATTTTATTGGGATATCACAATATCTCTTATTTAATTAATGCATCTATATACTTGGTAAAGGGTGGAAGACTCGGCCTTATGCCTGGTGTTTTGTTCCACTCTTGCCGCCCTAGTTTCCGTCATATCGGTATTATGTTCCCGGATTTTGCGTTCCTTACACGGTTGGGTTATAATGGGAACCCCTTGACAGTTCGCTTTGAATAAAACTCCTCCAGCAAGGCCCAACCTTGGTTTTACCATTCGCCACCTAGCCTTTTTCCCTTGGGAGTCACGCATCCCGAGGGTCATCTTTATTTTAACCCCCCCGGGCCAGTGCTTGTCTAAGTGTTGGTCCAAACTAGAGCCCCTTGCAACGCCACCTCGGGGAAACTCGAGGGCTGGTTTTAGTTGTACGGATTGCTCATCCGGTGTTGCCCTGAGAACGAGATATGTGTAGCTCCTATCGGGATGTCGGCGCATCGGGTGGTCTTGCTGGACTTGTTTTACCATTGTCGAGGATGTCTTGTAACCGGGAGGCCGAGTCTGATTGGATTGTCTTGGGAGAAGGAATATCCTTCGTTGACCGTGAGAGCTCGTGATGGGCTAAGTTGGGACACCCCTGCAGGGATTTGAACTTTCGAAAGCCGTGCCCGCGGTTATGGGCAGATGGGAATTTGTTAATGTCCGGTTGTAGAAAACCTAAAACTTAACCTTAATTAAAATGCATCAACCGCGTGTGTAACCGTGATGGTCTCTTCTCGGCGGAGTCCGGGAAGTGAACACGGTGTTGGAGTTATGCTTGATGTAAGTAGACTTGGATCACCTCTTGATCATAGTTTATCGACCATGCTTTTGCCTTCTCTTCTCGCTCTCATTTGCGTATGTTAGCCACCATATATGCTAGTCGCTTGCTGCAGCTCCACATCATACCTTTATCTTACTTGTAAGCTTAAATAGTCTTGATCGCGAGGGTGTGAGATTGCTGAGTCCCCGTGACTCACAGATACTTCCAAACTAGCTTGCAGGTGCCGTTGAACCTTGCAGATGACGTAACCAAGCTCAAGGAGGAGCTCGATGAAGATCGTGTTCGTTATGTTGTTTCGTTTCCAGTTGATCAGTAGTGGAGCCCAGTCGGGACTATCAGGGATCTGTGTAGCATTTGGGGTAGTCTTCTTTTATTTTGGTTCCGTAGTCGGACCTTGAGTGTATTTGGATGAATGTAATTGCTTTATTCATGTATTGTGTGAAGTGGCGATTATAAGCCAACTATGTATCTTTTTCCCTTATATATTACATGGGTTGTGTGAAGATTACCTCACTTGCGACATTGCTTTCAATGCGGTTATGCCTCTAAGTCGTGCTTCGGCACGTGGGAGATATAGCCGCATCGAGGGCGTTACAGGTTGTCTCATTGCAGCCGTCCTCAGGAACTGAGTTCTGTGTTTGTGATCCATGAACAGTTACTACCACACATTGGGTTCCGGTAACTTGGCCCCTCTCGGCTTATTAATCAACTCGATCTCTGTCCAGGAGTTGCAACTAGTTTCTGGTGTTTGTAGGTAGTGTTAGTAGTCTACCAAGTGGCACCCGGTACAGGTGGGCTTGGGACATATTAGGCACAGTGGCACGGTGTACCAAGTGGCATCCGGATGGTGGGCTTGGGAACCCTGCACACATCGTTTGGGGCCGTGAGCGACACCCCGGCCGAATCTCCTTGCGGATGGAACCCGAATAGGCGATAAACCTGAACGAGAGACTTGTGTGGTTAGTCAGGTCCTGGTCGACTCCCTCGCCAGGCTTCCGCTTGAAGGTTGTCGAGGTACACAACGTGTACATGGTGGTAAGTGGCGAGAGCGTGTGTGAAGAAGTACACCCCTGCAGGGTTATCATTATCTATTCTAATAGCCGGATTCCTCGGATATGGAAACTTGGACCCCTTGCATAGTTCATAGACAAGTGAAAGTGGATACTTTAAAATGCGCAAGATAAGCGTGAGTGCTATGGATGGCCTTCTCGTAGGGAGACGGGAGCGGATCCATAGTGGAGTATTGATATGGTGAATATGTGGACTCGTGTGCGCCACCTCAAAAGAGTTACTTGCAGTCATAGTTCAGGTTAGCCACTGAGTTAAAGCTGACTTGCTGCAGTTAAACCCCACCATCCCTTTGTTGATAATGATGCATATGTAGATAGTTCTGATATAAGTCTTGTTGGGTACATTTGTACTCACGTTTGCTTATTTTATGTTTTGCAGAGAGACTTCAGTCTCGCTAGTAGTTCCGCGTGGGCTTCGACGTTTAGCTTGTTACCTCAGCTATGATCTTGTGCTCTCGGCAGGATCTTGTAGATAGTCAGGCTTCTCAGCCTTTTTCATTTGTAGTTGTCTGTACTCAGACAAGTTAAGCTTCTGCATGTGCTTGTTGCTTGCATGCTCTGTATGTAGGGTCATGAGACCCATGTTTGCAATACTTGGCTCCTTGGAGCCCAATGAATAAATACTTGAGTCGTAGAGTTATGTTGTGATGCCATGTTGTATTTACACATATCGAGCATACTGTGTGTATGATTGAAATGTTTGGTATGTGTGGGATCCGACAACCTAGTTGTTTATTCTTGGTAGCCTCTCTTATGGGGAAATGTAGTCTTGTGCTTTCATGAGCCATAGTAGTCCGCTATAGCCCGGTTCACCGGAGTCCTGCTAGCCCAGCACTACTGCTCCGGAACACTTGACTGGCCGGTATGTGATTCACTTCGTTCCTGTGTCTGTCCCTTCGGGGAAATGTCACGCGGTGACATCCGGAGTCCTGCCTAGCCTGCTACAGCTCAGATTCCCGGAGTCCTGTTAGCCCAGTGCTACAGCCCGGATTCGCACGCTGCTGACCGACATGCTCGATGTTGATTCATGTATGCATGTCCCCGTAAGTTAGTGCCACTTTGGATTCACGACTAGTCATGTCGGTCCGGATTCTCTGTCATATGGATGCTAGCGACACTATCATATACGTGAGCCAAAAGGCGCAAACGGTCTCGGGCCATGGTAAGGCGACACCCGTGAGAATACCGTGTGTGAGGCCGCAAAGTGATATGAGGTGTTACAGGCTAGATCAGTGTGACTTAGAATCGGGTCCTGACAATGCGACACGTTAAAAAATTCATAAAATTGTCATGTGGACATTAAGCAAATTTATAGTTTTGCCATGTTTGAAAAAAAATGTTATGAATCTGCCATGACAATTAACTATATGTGGGCTGCTTCCCTAAAAAAACTATATGTGGGCTGCAGCATCTCCTAATCCTGGGCTTTAGATTCCTCTAAAAAAACCTAACCGGATGCTGCTGAGTCATGAATGCTCTTCTGTTGTTTCCAGGCACCATCCTCCATTTCTTTCCCTCGAAAAAAAGGCTCCCTCCTCCACGAGACGCGGAGGCACCACCGGCCGCCGCCGCCATCTCCGCCCACCTCGACCATCTCTTGCGGCAGGTAAGCTGCCCCCCTCTCTCTCCTCGCATTCCACTTTCGCATCTCATCCGCTGATATCGCTACACTTCGCAGCTCGCTCCTCCTCCCTCCCCACCGACGGCGGCGGCATGGACTGCCCCAAGCGGAGCGCGAGCGCCGGCCTCCCCGAAGACTCCTTGGTGGAGATCCTCGCGCGCGTCCCCGCCAGGTCCGTCTACCGCTCCAAGTGCGTCGCGAAGGCATGGCGCGACCTCATCGAAGATCCCCTCCACCGCAAGAAACTCCCCCAAACCCTACAAGGCTTCTTCCTCATTGACAAGGAGACCCATAGGCAGCGTGTCTGCTTCGCAAATCTGCTTGATAGATCCGGGCCTCTCCAGATCGACCGTAACCTCGCCTTCCTGAAGGAATCGCCCGGGATTGGGACTCTCGACTTCTCCGATTCCTGTAACGGGCTCCTCCTCTTCGAGCACAAACTGGAGGCATGGCCATATAATCTATTGGGCTATGTCGTATGCAACCCCGCCACGAAGCAGTGGGTGGAGGTGCCCAGAGACGGCCCTCCGCTTCCGTTGTATCTTCGGCAACCCAAAAGGTTCAACTATTTGGTTTTTGATCCGTCCGTCTCCTCTCACTTCCACCTGGTCCAGTTCACGTGGGAGTTTGTGCGCTTGGTGAAGTTTGAGGAGGAGGAGCTAGTGGTTGGTCATGATGATGATGATGATGATGGGGAGGAGGAGGAGGAGGGCGATGAGGAGGAGGAGGTGTCCCGGACGTCAGTGCACGTCTACTCCTCTGAGACTGACAAGTGGACTCACACGCAAAGTGACTGGAGTCAAGTCCAAAGTGGCCGGAACAAGCATGATTTGGAAGGATGGCGCCTTCAGGGCTTAATACCTGAGAGCTTCTGCTGTGCTGTTCTCAACAGCATGCTGCATTTCATAATTTCGGATGAAGGTCAGATTGCTGCTGTTGACATGCAAGGGGTGACACGAAAGATCATCCCAGTGCCGACGATGGCCGAGAGGCTCCACTGGCTGGAGCCTGGTTGTGTTGCCCAATCCCAAGGGCGCCTGCACTACATCAGTCAAGCAGTTGATGGTCGACTGTCCATCTGGGTTCTGGAGGGCTATGATACACAAGAATGGGTCTTGAAGCATAGTGTGAGCTTTACGGGGCTGTTTAGAGAAAAGAGACGCACAGGCGACACAAAAGACTACAGTGTGGTTGCCATGCATCCAGATGGAAATGTGGTTTTCATTGTTCAGGATTGGAACCGAAAGATGATATCATATCACACGGACAATAAGCTAGTGAGTGTTATTGGGACATTAAAAAATGATGCTTCAGATATGCATGTTGTAACTTATGTTCCCTGTTTCTCCGAGTCACCGGCACTCCCAATCAAGCACTGAATGTGTTGCGTTCATCTACACAGAAGATAGCAACTTGGTTAGATCTAGTAGAATTGGGTGATATATTATGCCCATGGTTGGATGTATCCTTCTCATGCTTTTGGTCCAAGTAATAGTGCAAGGCAGTTGAGACATTCTTGTCAGGTAGTTTCATGTATGCTAGATTAGTAAATGATGTTGCCCAAGTTGCATATAATTTTGAAGTGTTAATGCTTCAAATGCTATCTTTTATGTCTCCATGATGATTATAATTGTCTTACATTACTCCTTTTTCCCTGGCCCTATTAGTGAGTACTAACTGACTTTTTTGTTCCTAAAGACCTGTGTATGTTTTGAGAAGAACTTGGTCCTGATTATGTTTATATGTGATGTATGTGATGGGAATACATAAACTGAAGGCTTACATTAATGCTGAAAGCTGCCTAGTTTCTTTTGAAGGACAATAGGTTCCTAGTTGATGTTGGTTACATGATATTGGTTTCCACACCAAGTTTTCGCTTATATGCTGCTTAAAAATAACTATTAACTAGTAGAACATTATAATACTAGCATACTTCGCCCAGAGCAGATCTTGCTTGTAGTCGCCGATTGCTTGGGCCTAGTTTAGCAGAGCTGGAGAAGATAACTATGTTCTCTTCTCGCTGACACCAAATAGATCTCTTGGTTCCGTATTGAGATGGAACTGGCTATTAACTCTTGACAGCATTGTAAGATCTAGAGTGTGGTACTAACTGCAACAATGCTCAAGCCTACTGTTGTGAGCATCGGACCCCAACCTACCTGTCTTATGCAACACACTGTATGTTTCCTTCTGTGTTTTGTTCAGCATATGTCTTTCTGCACTAGGTCTTCAAGCTTCAGAACCTGCCCATGCAGCATCAGCTTTTCATGATCCTACCTATGCCAGGATACATTAACTTAACATTAGTAGATCGGCCTTCATGGAGTTTTTCAGGCATTTTTGCATGCAGATTTGCAGAAATAATTGTATGTTGTCTGCTGGCATCTGAGCAAAATGATAAAATTTTCCGCATGGGTAGTTTGATGTCGGACCAGCCTAATGCTGCAAGACATTGCCCCGAACTACAACTTTTATATTTAGCTATAATTGTCTTTTATTGAGTGTTTTGATCACAATTAAGAAGACCAGTGTGACCGACCTCCATACTGGGCTTGTTGTGGGGACAAAAAGGTTTCCTTATTTGTTTCAGTGCTGTCGTATTTAGAAGAAATTTTGCCATTGCCTCTAGCGAATTGATCACTCACTTCGAGGAAAATTGCCGCCAGTGACGACACTGTTGAGTAACCGGCCGGGTCACAATGGCAACAACGACAGTTTTTTCTTTCTGGAAAAACTTTCGATCTGAACATCAATGGTATAAAGAGCACAAGAAAAATAATTACATTCACGTTCATAAACCACCTAGCGACAACTACAAACACTAGAGCGAGCCGAATGTGTGAATGTGTGTCGCCGTCATTGCCCCTCCCTCACAGGAGCTAGACAAAACCATGTTGTAGCAGACGATTGAGAAGTCATCATGATAAGGTCCCATGGGACAACGCACCAGAACAACAACCGTTGGCGATGAAGGAAAGCGTAGATTGAAAGGATCCAACATGTAGATACACAAGCGCAAACGACCAAAGACCGAATCCATGCAAATCAACCGAAGACAAACAATGACCGAATCCGCGAGATTCGTCGAGGTACACCTCCACACGCCCTCTAACGTCGCTAGACGCACCGCTAGAATGGGGAATAGACGGGGAAAAGCCTTATCCAATCTCCAGGGAGCCGTCACCGCCCCGCCTTCTTGAGAAGGACATAAACCCTAACTAAACATAAAAAGACACCTAAAACGAAGTAGGAGCCCTCCTGCCGGCAAGGACGGGGGTTCGCCGCATCTCCATGGCCCTAAGACTGCAGGGGACGAGGCAACAACGATAATTGCGGCGACTAACAATGTAGTGATCTTGGTGGCTACAACAACAACTGTTGCAAGCAACTTGTCTCAACAACCGTTCCCCAGGTACCTTGTTCATAGGGGAGGGAGCATTCCTGTCGTCGACGTGCGCTGTCCAACTCTACATGAGTTCTTGGTCCACAACTCTGGATGTATTCTCAAGAGTCACCAGTCATGTACTTGGGTGCTCATCTGCCTGTATTCGTTACACCGCAGTTGTGCACAATAGCACACACACACACACACCATCATCAGAATGGGCATGCAGGGGCCCTTCGTCTGACATCACTAGCCACCTCGATAACTTGACATCTTCTCTTTCCTTAGACTTGCGAGAGTGTGAGTATCATAACTATACTTGAACATGGGAAACCCAGCCCGACCCGACCCGGTCTTGCCCACAGGCCGGGCCTGGGCCTAGGTTTTGAGCCCGAATGACATGGCGGACCGGGTCTGGGCTTGACATATGTGTGTTTTAGGTAAGAGGCCCAACGGGCTTTTCCACTGACGGGCCAGGCTTAGCCCTGAAATCTAGGCCCGAAGGCTGGCCCAAGCAAAGCCTGGGCCTAGGTTTTCTGCCGCAAGCTTTTTTAGGCCCGGCCAGAGTTATGGCCAGATATAATCATAACTAGTATTATGCATCCCAACTAAGCAGTTTGATGAGATGACATAAAATTAAAAGTAGAAAGAGAGATTTGAGTATCATATGCTAAAGTATCATAAAAAATATTATGCTACTATGTGTCATGACCACATAACTTGTTTGGCTCCTTCCACATACCAAGGCTAACACAAAGGCAAAGCACGATCAAAATTGTCAGTGTTGAGCACCCCAATTCCACCATACTCATACATGCGACAAACGGCCTTTCAATTGACCTTGCACTTTGCACCGGGAGCCTTATCCAATACAATGAATTCTTTTGATTCAGGTGATAGAATTGCATCCTAGAACTACCTTTTTCTCCACTAGCAAAAACATGAGCACATTACTAGAAATTGCAATTATTTAACCAATATGGTGAATTATGTGACTTATGCAAGATTTAAAATAACAGACTATACGACATCCAAATCAGTTACAACGACACTAAATCGTGCTTTAGCGATCCTACATTAGCCAATTCTGCATGGGTCAAACCTGACCATATAGACCTGGCCGACACAACATGGCGCAACCCCACTGCAAAAAGGAATGGCACGACGCGACCAATATCGGCCCTTTTATAGAAGGGTTGTGCCATCCGACCTGAAAACTTAGCTTTCAGAATTAGCACAACACGGCATGGCTGCAGGCCGGCCCACGCTAGAAAAGTCAAAATAGCCCTAAGAAGGCCAAAACACATGTTCACAGAAGCTCAAACAACCCCCAAAAGGCCCCACAATTAAAAAAGGACCATGTCGTACCTAGCCTTAAGGCCTGGCCTTGGGGATCGGCCTTGTTCCATGGCAGACTGACTGTCGGCCCAGACCTTTTTAATTGTCTGCTTGGCTAAAAATCCATGCCCGCAGGCCGACCCACGAGGCACGGGCCATATGGCCAGCTTTAACATGGAGGCAGGCAGACATGGCTAGATGGGCCGACACGGCACGACCCATCGAGGCACGTCTAATACACGGGGCATGTCGTGCCGGTACTCGTGCCACGCTTCCTGGCCCACGCATGGCACAACAAGGAAAGCAGGCTGGCCCGCTAACACGTTTAGCCCACTAGGCCGTCTGATTTTGGGCTGTTTTGGGCCTATTTGGGTTCTTTTGGGGTGGCTAATATATATAAAAAAATCTGAAAAAATATTTAAAAAGTAAATGGGTCGTGCCGTGCTGGCACTTGTGTTGAAACTCACAGCCCAGGTACAACCCGATTTTAAACGTGCCGGGCCAGGCCCATGGTGCGCCAGACACGCGGGCTATCAGGCCAACACACCAGGACCGGACCATTTGGCCACCTTTGGAGGCAGGCCACTATGTGTTTCACTGGCCTTTGCTAAAAAAAACAACATTCAAAAAAAAAATTAGCAACATTCAAAAGAAGACAAAAAAAAGACGTGTTTCACTGAGCAATAAGTAACCGTCCGATGGGGCCTGGTGTCCCGATCCCAGCCGCAAAAACCATCTCTTCATCCTTCTCCAAAAGCCTTCGCCTCCGGCTCTCCGCCCCTCCTCTGCCCCCCAGCCCCAGAACACCTGCTCAGGCAAAGCCGGCGACTCCCTCCCCCCTCTCACACGCCCGCGACGCCTGAATCGACCATGAACTTGGTACTGGGACCAGTCCACATTCCTACCCCTCGGCCGGCTATAATTACCCCCAGGCCACCACCCGCCCGCGCGCATTCCCGGTCTCACACACACCCCCCAGCAGAGAGGGGTACCGCCGTGCCCTACCGGGGGGAGGGGAGGCGGAGGCCGCCGCGGAGAGCCGCACGGGACTAAGCTGCGACGCTCGACGATCCCATCCTCTCCGGGGAGCTCCTCGATCGGGAGCTGTTCGAGGTGGGTTCCCGAGCTCAGTTGCCTCGCTTACTGGTGCTGGATTGATCGGCGTCGCTGGCTGGCGAATCTCTCCGATTCCTCACTGAATTTGATCGAATTGCGTCTCTGGTTTCGGAATCCGGGCGGTTTAGTGCTTGCTCCTGGATTAATCGTCTGTGTTTGCTTCCGCTGCGTTCTAATCCGGTTCCTGCAATCTCGTTTCAGCGATCAAGCCCTCCCTTGCATTCCCTGAGCAATCCGAAACTGCACCCCCGGGTTCACGAGACAGGAACTCGAGCCTCCAGGTAAAAAAATCCCATTCCATTTCACCAGTTTCTGATGTTATTACCGCGCGTTCTTCCGTTTCCTGTAATGCCTGATCAAATGCGGTCTCCGTGTTTGTGCAAATGCTCCAAAGGGGCAAGAAATTGTGAGCTGAGCGTATCATTGTTTGTGTGCTGAATGTAGCGTATCACTGTGTCCTTAGTTAGTTACCGCGCTACATTGCTATGATTCAGATTCACAGTATTTGTTAAACCTCGTGATGGTGTGAGAATTTCACATGTTGTTGCAACTTGTCATTGCTAGCGCATGTTATTGTCATCCCTCAAACTATCACATCATGGCTGCTTGTTTCACAGTGCTTTTAAAAAAGCAGCATCTTATAAACTATTTTGCCCCCCTAAAACCTACTTGTGCTTCTGATTAATCTGTCAGGGAAGACTTCAGTTCGGGCCGTAGATTGTGATTCGACTCCCCTGTTGTTTACAGACCTGCGGATTTTTTCTGATGTTGTAGAGGCAAATTTATTGCTTCCTTATTCTTCAGTAGTGGTGGTGGAGCAGTTCTGTAGTTTTTTCAGTTAGATGCAATAGTTCATTTTGATGCATATGCTGTAATAATGTTATAATGCACTTTGCCTTCCACTCCACATGTTGTGGAAAAAGATTAGTGAGTTAATGTTCAGTTCATCTCTCTGTGTTCTGACTTAGTGCATCTTTGCAATGGTTTTAGATATGGCACCACGAGGAAGATCTCCGAAGCATGTGTGCAACAAGTGCTATAAGAACTTTCCTTCAGGGAGGGCTCTTGGAGGCCACATGTCACTCCACTGGCGCAAAGTGAAGCAGCCAAAGGGAACACCAAGCCCTCCTGCCACTGTTGTCGACTTGAATGTGTCGCTGCTGAGTCCAAGTGATGAGGAGATTTTGCTGTGGTTCTCAGGAACACAATGCCAGCTGTGCTCAAAGGTGTTCTCTGCCTGCGATTCTCTGAGGAAGCACATGAGAGAGCATGGGGAGAAGAACGTCCTGAGTAAGCCCGTCGAAGAAGCAGCTGGGCTGATGGAAGCTCGGGCCATTGCTGGTGGTGGCTGCAATGTCCTGTTATCCCCTGTGAAGCGCAAGCGGTCAAAGAGGGGGGCACCACCACTCAAGTTTAATGAGATGGATGCTGCAGCCTCTCTCCTGCTGCTTTCAGAGCATTCTAGCAAGATTTCAGCTAATGAAGATTGCTATACAGAAGTTATGGACAGTTTGCCCCCCAATGTGTCGAAGGATGTGAAGCTGAATGCTTTTGGTCATCAACTGGTTCGATCTGCTGAGTTCAAGAAGCCGAAAGGTTGCAAGTGTTCATCTTATGATATTTGCTATGGGCAATGTGTTATGGACACCAACTTGATCCCCAATGTTGCCAAGGAAAAAACTTTGATCCCTAACATTGCCAAGAATTCAGCTTGTGAGGATTGCTTTGGACAATGTGAGAAGGACAGCAGCTTGATCCCCAATGTTGACAAGAAGGAAAGAAGTTTGATCGCCAATATTCCTGAGAAGGACAACACCTTGATCTCCATTGTTCTTGAGGAGGTAGAGCTGAATGTGCTTGATCATGTGCTGGCTGGAGATGCTGAGCTTAGGAAGAAGCAAAGAACTGACAATTCAGTTGAGATGAAGTGTGCTGATCTTTCAGCTGCAGTGAAGGTCAAGAGGCACCAGTGTAATGCCTGTGGGAAGTCATTTGGGTCAGGGTCAGCGTTGGGAGGCCACATGAGGTGGCACCTTCCTAGATCCAATGATCGCCGTCATGGGTTCGCCGAAAGCCCTGATTCTGTTGTGATGAAAGAGCAAAAGCAGAAGCTTGAATTGGGCGCCAAGTTTCTTGATCTCCGACTTCCAGGTCTCACTGACATCACTATTTTCTCGGGCTTGAAATCTGAACCTGAGCCGTGGCGTGTTGCAAGCAGTGTTCACTGAGCCAATGCCGATGCACACAGTCGTCTGAACTGCTACAGTCCCTTCACTTTTGTGTATAGTCAATCAGCCTGATAGCAAAACTTCCAATTTGTCCATTTGTAAATAGTCACAAGCTTTGCACTGATCCTTCTCTTGACCGGCAAATTTTCATGGCAGTAAAGGCCAAGGATCTTATGCAGTTGCTTGGTTGCTGCACAGTACAGCACCTTTGCTCAGTTGAATGCACAAGCATGAGATTGTGTCATTCAGCACTAACTAATGATCTGGAGTTGCCTAACTGCCATATACTCTCTCCTTGCACACATTTGTTTCTGTAAATGTTCATATCTTGAAATGGTTCTGCAATAAAAGAGAAGCTGGTCAGAATTTTTTCAATTTGTTAATGTATTTGTTTGCTCTGTTGGTTTTTGGATGTGTTAGCAATAAATAAATAATCACTGCTCTGATTGTCACTGCCGTGGCACTGTCAACGGCATGCATTATGGCATTGGTTTTTGTGTTCAGTTCAACTGGTTTCTTGTGAACGAGGCATTCTGCTATGCTCCCTGGACTGAAAATCTGGATTTGCGGTCGTCTGTGCCAAGTTTGCATTTCCTTGATGTGGTTTGCTGCAGTTCTCTTATCTTCCTGTTTTTGGTGGTTTGTTGCTGAAATTCTTGCCTGTGTGCAGCTGATGGTAAGTGCAGTGATCCTGCTGCCCCTAATTTGGTTCAGGTCATGGACTGCACCGGGAATGCATGTCCTGATGTTCCAGTCCCAGAGTGATGATAGACTAACTGTATTTGAATATTTTCAGACACAGAGATCTTCTGCAATGGATTTGTTGATGCGCACAGATTTATTTCCTCCTTCGCAAGAGTGACTGTGCTGCAGCATGTGTAATTTGGGATGCAGTTTCAGTGCTTCAGTCGAGTGATGGCGCTTCTATCCTTTATTTGGCCATATTAGCTACATGGACGGTAACACAGCTGTGTTTGCCCCCCTTCTCTATCACTTCACCAAGTCCGACGACCTTCATCTGCATGTGTCCCATGAAAAATGGTTAAAATATGCATAGGACTCGCCTGATAATGGGTTCTACACCATTGCTTCCAAGGTACCGCAATCCGATTGAAGTGTAGTCTCTTTGCCTCCAGCCCTGTTGGTAAGAAGTGCGATTTACACTGAGAAAATCGAAGTTACCGAGAAAGTTGGTGTTTAGGCTACTGATCAAACGAGGAACACACAAAAACTACTGCTCCCTCCCCGAAAACAAGGCCCTAACTTTCCCCCTCTTTTCTCAAAAACACTACTACTCCCCCTTGGCCTTCGCCAACAGAGCGAACCTATGTCTCTCCAATTCCACGAGGTCGACTCACATAGCTCGCCTGACACTCCTTGCATGTGCAAGATGCTCACCGTCGGTCAAGCGACAAGACGCAACCGGATGCACCACCAACGACTCCATGCTCACCACATCATTGACTGTTCTAGAACAACCACACAAACCACTGACCCAGTGCTCCCATCGCAAGATTAAACTCCACGACAATGCTTCCAACGAAGTAATGATGCCTCGGGCGGCACCATTACACACGGTTTTCACTAGGAGACAAGATTTTCAGTTGGGAAAGGTATTGGTTACCCTGTGTGATGCATTCAACAAGGAAAACCACACCCAAAGGCATCGTTCACCAACAGCCCCGACTGAAGTGGAGCAGGACTTACGTCCGGAGAACCGACGACCTATGCCCGGAACGACGTCTCCAAACACACCACCACCACCACACAAAAGAACTAGCAAATGCGCTGCAACACAAAGCACTGGCCAGAGCACCACGGATGGTGCTAGCCTAGGAAGAAGGTCTAGACCAACACTACAGCAGACCACCATCCCGACAGGAGCCACCATGCATCTCAATTGCAGACCAATCATCAACCAAGCAACCGCCCACCAGAGCAGTTGATCACGCCGTAGAACCGCTGAATCCCTCCGCGCACCAAAGGCCAGCTAGCCACCCGGGGGGAAACGCACCGGGGAAGCATCCCACGCGCTGGGATGCAGGCCTGCCGAAAGCTCAAATCGAGATACAAGCCTGGTTGTTGTGACATCGGCAGCCTCCACATGCCGACTGCTTGTCGACCGATAGGGAAAACCCTATATGACGCATTATGTGTCAAAACTGTCGAGCTATCGCACAAGAGTTGGCGATCGAGCGGTGAGCTGGGCCGACCCATTAAGCATTTCTGCGATCCCGTTTGCGGACCTTAGGTTCCCAGCCGTTTTTTTTTGGGTTTTAGGAAGCTTCTAGATGATTCTTGAACTGCTTTCTCTCTTTCTTTTCTTATTTTTCCCCTTTTCTGCTTTTATTTCTTTTCTCTCCTTTCTTATTTTTCTTTCATTTTCGTTTTTTTTTCTATTTTCTGTTTACTTTACTTTTTTATTTTATTTTTTCCTTTTCAAGTTTATTTTTCTTTTTCAACAGATGTTCACATTTTTTGAAATTTGTATAAACTTTCAAAAGATTGTTTTTGTTTTAATTTTTGTTCAGCCATTTCCATAAATGTTCAGAAATTCCCAAACTTTAGAATTTCAAAAATTGTTCGCTTATTTTCAAAAAATGATCAAAAATTCAAAAGTGGAATTTCAAAATTTCAAAAATCTTGACATTGTTATGATTTGTTCACAAATTTAAAAATGTTCATGAATTAAAAAAAAATACTTTTTGATAATGTCATGAATTCGAAAAGTGTTTGTGTTTTCAAAATTTCTCCACAAATTCAAAAAGTGTTTGGAATTTGAAAAAATGTCCATATTTCCAAAATTTGTTCACAAACTCAAAACATGTTCATGTTTTAAGAATTGTTCACAAATTCTGAAATTCTTTTGGAAACTTCAAGAAAATTGTGTTTTTTTTGTAATTTCCAAAATGTTTCGCATTTTTTAATTTTGTTCTTATTTCTTCTAAAATGTTCACCTTTTCAATTTTTTCCATAAATGCAAGAAATGCTTGCATTTTCAATTTAGTTGTTGTCTTAAAAAATGCTTGAGATTCCCAGAAAATATTTGCGTTTCAAAAACACTTTTTTCAAAAAAAAAAATCACGTTTGAAATTTCAGAAAAAGAATAAAACTACCGTGCGTTATAGTTCGTATATATGGCAGAGGATGGATAGGTTGGCGGAGGAGGTTGTCCGACGGCTAGGATTTGGCATTTATGAAGTCACTGTATGTGCCTCGTCGTCGACGGAAACATCTCCTTCCGTTGAAAGCGCATTGCCGAAAATTCTAAAATAAATTCCGGAATAATGCGAACATCAGGATTTGAACCCCGATGGACTAGGATAATACTGTCCCTCTACCCATCCACCTTCGATTTTTTTTCCCACCGAATCCACCTTTGATTTGTTTCCATTGAATGTGTCGAAGACCGTACATTACGGTGTAATAATACCCAAAAAAAAGTGCTCCTAAAAAAAGTGAAGAGCCATACCTTAAAACCCCCGACTCCCCCCTCTAATCGACATGGATTCCCTCTCCGGCGGCGGCGAACGACTCCCAGTTAGGGGTGACCTCTCCGGCCGCAGCGCCGGTTCGCCTCCGCCTCTTACTCTTCCGCTTCCGCATGACGACCTCCTCCTGGAGATCCTCCTGCGGCTACCGCCTGAGCCAATCTACCTCCTCCGCGCCTCCCTCGTCTCCAAGCACTGGCGCCGCCTGGTCCACGACGCTAGGTTCCTCCGCCGCTTCCGCGCCTTCCACAGGGCGCCTCCCGTGCTCGGCTTCCTCAACAACCAGCCGGGGCCTCCCCTCTTCGTCCCCACCTCCGACGCCTTCGCCGCAGTCCCCTCCTCCACGATGTCCCACGACTCTTGGTGGGCCTTGGACTGCCGCCACGGCCTCGCCCTCCTCCAAAACAGGAACTCCGGCAATCTCCTCGTCTGGCACCTAATGTCCGGCGAGCAGCGCTGCTTGCCGCGGCCGCCGCCAGCGCTCGATGAGTACGATTGCGGACGCGGCTTCAACGCCGCGGTTCTCCGCGCGGCCGGCAACGAGGACCGTCTCGACTGCCCGTTCCTCGTGGCCATGACGTTCACCCACGGCGTCGATGCTGATCTGACCTCCGCCTGCGTCTACTCGTCTGAGACCGGCATCTGGGGAGACGTCATCTCCGTCTCCACGCTAGAGGAAGTTGTGTCGTACCCAACGACTCTGATCGGAAACACGCTCTACTGGCCAATGAGCGCCGGTTGCATCCTTGAACTTGATTTGGCTAAGCATAACTTGGATACAAGTGAGGTGCCAAACGATATTTGCTACTATGACGGCATTGTCCTCATGCCGGCCGAGGATGGAGGCCTTGGTCTTGCAGCGGTTGATGATCTCATTCTCCATGTCCATCTGTTCTCAAGGGTGACCACCATTGACGGCACGCCAGTCTGGACGCTTCACAGAGCCATTGATCTGAACAAGTTTTTTGCACCGAATGTGGTGCTGAGGTGTAAGACGGTTCCTGTGAGGACAATTGGTTTTGCTGAAGATGCTGATGTGGTTTTCATTTATGTGTATGATTGCGTCTACATGCTCCATCTCAAGTCTATGCAGTTTGATGAGGTGTCCGAGAAAGGAATCTATGGCAGCATTTTCCCGTACACCAGTTTCTACACCACGGTACTACCATGTCTTTTATCCTCTAGGAATGATGAAATGTAGTTGTATAAGTAGATGTCTTATTAACATACTCGTTATCCAAAGATGAACATTCATGTTATATATGCACTCTTCAAATTCTTGTTTTGCACATCCTGCCAATGCTTCTAATTAATTTCCCAACAGTACTAGTCTGCTCATTTCTGTTTTTTACAAGTGATTCATGCGTGCTAAGTGCTAACAGGTGAAAAATCTAGGTATGCACTGACGTTCTTCCCTATTAGAAGTGTTCCATACACACACACACACACACACACACACATATCATCCCGACCTAGATTATACCATGTGTTAAGTCATTATGAAGACCTGCATTCAACAGATACAAACAGGGATTCACAAACAAAAAGGTGGATGTGTAGTCACTTTTTCCTGCCCTCTAGAGAAAATGTATTTACACAAGAGCAATAGAGGTTGGGATACATACTAGCAGTGTCAAATAACAGAGTGACACTGAAAATCAACGAATTAGGTTGTCAATACAAAACTTCCAGCCCTACTTAGCAATACCACAGCTCAGCCTAGCACATGAGCCATACAGACCAATGTAGTAATCTGCTTGTTGGATGTGCATCAAAGGAATCTAAAAAAACTGATATCGTGATAAGAAATTTTCAGCAACCTTGTGAGTTATAAATACACAACACAATATTCAGGATAACAAGTTGGGCTGGTTGATTTCTGAGAGCTGACTCGTGACCTCGGATGACTTATTATAAGTTCTCAAGAATATTATCCCAAACCATCTGCTTTTTAGCCTCTGATTACCCATAGCTGTATGTTGAAGTAGTTTCTTTGAGGGCTGCAGTGCAGCTTGCTTTGTCCAGAAAAAAATCATCCGTTTCGATGAATATTGAAATAGAAGTTCTGTAGTCATTTTTGTATACATGGCTCCTCTTCTATCATATCTCGGTACTAGTTGCTTGTATTATTTGACGTCATGAGTTACACAATGCTGGATAAAGAAGGACCTGATATGCGTCCTGATCCATCTTGCATGAAAGAAGGTGACAGAAAGGCCCTAATCCTTGACATGAGCAAAGGACGCTTCCAATGATAAGCCCCCTATGAATCAACAAAAATCCCAGGTCATGAGCAGAGCATCTAGGGCAACGGCCAGTATGAATGCTAGGAGTATAAAGCATACATCAACTCAATTTGCCATTGTTAACTAGGTGACATAAAAAAGTATGCATTGCGAAAAAGCAAGATATATATGATATAGACTACAGCCTGAAATGAAAAGTAGTGACAGAAGGAGTGGCCAGGAGATATCTACACATTTTATTTCTCTCATTATTATGGTAGGTGGATGGGTCAGTGTCATATAAGTTTTTGCCTTCAGAGGTCCATCGTGATATCTCAAATGATGAATTCTTTAAGTGCCAGAAAGGAAAACTAGTGAGAAAGAAAAGTACATATACCTTCCAAAATGACTGGCACGTACTGCGGTGCAAAATCTATGACAATGTATACCAGTTTCAACATACTCCCTCCGGTCCTTTTTACTCTGCATATAAGGATTGTCTGAAGTCAAACTTCATAAAGTTTGACCATATTTATATGAAAAAATATTAACATCTATAATGCTAAATTTATACAATATGAAAAGTAAAGTCATGACGCATCTAATGTTGTTGATTTCACATTCTAAATGTTTGTATTTTTTTCTATAAACTTGGTCAAAGTTTACGATGTTTGACTTTAGACAAATCTTATATGCGAACTAAAAAGGACCGGAGGGAGTACAAATCAACAGATTGTTGTGCATAACTGTTGCCTTCCATGTTGTGTTCGTCTCATCTTGTGAGATCAAAATCATGAAGAACATGTCCGCAGACCGCAGGCTTGCTAAACTTAACTTCATATGAACCCTGGTGGTGAATATGAAATAAATGACCTTTGAATAGTACCACAAATCAATCTAATCATTGCAGATCTTCTGTTTTTTTTCAGGTTAACACTGCATCACCTTTCGGGCATATCTTCTGCCAATCCATCACTACACAAACTTAACCTGGGGGTTGCTGGTGAGCAGCTTAACTTCCTTATCTATAGCATACTTTGCAGACTTCATTGCAGGAGTACGGTTAATGCTGACTTCAATGTAGTTAAGACAGAAAAGGTGTTGGATGCCGAAACCTATACAACCATATGTAGAGTGTGCTTCATCTGCATCGAATGCAAGGAAAAGCTTTTGGAGCTTCGGCATAGCTCCTTCTTTAAATACCAATCCTGGTCCAAATATATTGTGGAAGCATAGATGCCTTAATGATTGGAATCCGTTGCAGCTGACCGAGAGTCCTTCTTTAGAGCATCTCCAACGGCCGCACAAAAATCTCGCACCCAATAATAGTTATAGCACGCCACTTTAGCACTTTGAGTGCGCCGGGACCAATATTGCTTTAGCAGACGCCCAAAGACGCGCGCCCAAAAAACAGACAGTGCAAATTGTGAAGCGCGCCCAATCCGGAGCCCAAAATATGCTGCGCGCGATAGCGTTTTTCAACGCGCGCCCAAAAACTTTTAGCGCTACAGCGTCTGCTGGAGCTGCTCGGCGCCCAAAAAAGCAAAATTTTAGTGCGCGGAGCTCTTTTTGGGCGCCTGTTGGAGATGCTCTTAGGAATTTCCTCTGCAGACAGACAAAGCACGCAAAGCGCATGCAAACCTTCGAGCATGTGCAAGTCTCTCCCATTCATTTGATCAACACCAAAATCTAAGTAGGTGAGTTCAGAGAGCAAGGGACTAATCCATTTCGGAAACAAGGGTAAATTGTCATCCCTATAACCTTGCAAAACAAACTTCTGGAGGAGACGCGGAGGAGAGCGCCATGGATCTGCAAAACACGTAGGAGGACCACAACCCATGTTGATGATATGTAGGGAGCGAAGGTTGTTTTCCCCAAGCTTACAAAGAGCTGTACTGATTTGCCCATCATCACAATAAGTATGCTCAAAATGTATTCCAAGCACTCTCAACTGTATCAAATTCTGCAGATCCTTCCCAAAGTTTATAGAGCTCTTGGAGCCATTGATCTCCCAAAGCTCTTGAAGAGCTTCCATGTTGCCAAATCCATCCGGCAATCTGAGTCGCTGACCAACCAGGTGTCTCAGCCGTTTTAGATGAACAATAGATTCTGGCAACTCTGTTATCCCACTTCCTCTTAGGTCAAGCGTTTGCAAATATTCTAGCTTCCTGATTTGGATTGGGAGGTTCTTAACATTTGTGTTCCGCAGACCCAAATATCTCAAATGAATTAAGCTTCCAATGTTTTTGAGGTGGTCCTCTTTCAAACCATTACAATCCTCTAAATATAGTACACGAAGAATCTGTAGGTCCAGAAGAGGGGGCATCCAGGTAATTCTACCGAACACATGAAGTGAACGGAGATGAGACATATTCTTGTTTTGCTGTGATACCTCGGCTGCATGTTCATTCTTTTTATGGATGTACAGCCTGCGAATCTTGTCACACTGAGATGGGATGTGCTGAGCATCTAATACAGAAACAAAATTTTCTTCATTTGACCGAGTGACAATGAAGTCAAGTACTATATCATGGACTCGACATGAAATTGCTTCACCATAAAATTTAAATTCCTGTTGAATCATATTCCTGTTGATGAGCTCGTTAAAATAACTCTCTCCTACTTCCTCCAAAGTATATCCATGCTTCGGAACAACAAACTCGTCGGCAATCCATCTCCATACCAACCTATATTTGCCAATGATGTAATCTTCCGGGAACATGCTAAGGTACAATAAGCATGTCTTCAGAGGCTGGGTTAGATCACAATAGCTGAGAGACAGTATCTTATCTATCACTGTCAGTGTACTAGAGTAGGGGTACCCTAGTATCCCGAACTTGTGCACGGGCGGTTGCAGCGCCCCGCGGCAAGGTTGCCGGACGGCCGCCAGAGTCCTCCGTGGGTTCCTTTGGAGCCATTCAAGAACAAAGCATTCAAGATGAAGAGAAAAGGCCCCGGCAAGAGGAGCTTGTCGGGAAGAGACAAGGCCCCGGCAAGAGGAGCTTGCCGGGAAGGCCAACCACGGCACTTCAAGAAACTTGCCGCGATGCACCGCACGTCCCGGCAAGGTCCGGCGAGCGACAAGCTTCCGGACGCGACAAGACGACGACCCCGACAAGGTACTTGCCGGGGGCCCGCTGCCACTCTGTACTCGCGCTCCAGTGCACCCACCCGCGTGTCGCCATGAGGCTTTCTCAGGGGCGCGTGGCGGGAGCCTGTGCAGCCAGGGGTACGCGGTGGCAAGCGGAGATGAAGAGAAGGCCATCGTGGCAAACGGTGGCGCTCCTAACGGTCACTTTTTGCACTGTTTAGGCAACTTAGACAGGCATTCAATGACCTTGTCCCCTGCCGTCAGAGTTAGGTAGGGTGCACTGTGTCCACAGTCGCGGTAGCTACACCTACCGCATTCTTTTCCATTTTTACCCTTCTAGTCTACGTTGCCACCTGTCGGTGACCCCTTGAGAGTATAAAAGGAGGCCCATGCGCAATGTAGAAGGGGGTTCGGGTTCAGCTCATCCGAAACACCAAGAACACTCTCACGCTCGGTCTGGCAGCGTTCATCGCTCCTGAGCAAGAACTCAATACAATTAGACAAGCAGCAGTAGGGTTTTACGCATCCGTGTGGCCCGAAGCTGGGTAAAACTGCTCGCATGTACCGCCTCGATCCGCTCTTTGCGCGACCTCCGCCCCCCTCCGAACCGAAAGGGCCCCGGTCCCCATAGGTGTCCGTGGATCAGTTTCCCCGACATCTTTGGCGCGCCAGGTAGGGGGTGCGTCGAGATTGTGTGAACCCGATCCGGCGTGCACGCAAGCTAAATCTTCATCGTCTTCATCTTCGATATTGAGGACCACCCTGATCGCGTAACTGCGGTCGGGTGCTTGCCGATGTTGGTTTCTCCAACTATCCGCAACCTCAAGGTCACGAAGATGTTAGTTGACGGCGGGGCCAGCTTGAACCTGATATCCTCCGCGGTCCTCCAGAAACTCCAGATCCCTGACAACGAGCTCGAGGAGACCGGCACGTTCCAAGGAATCAGCCCGGGAAGGAGCAAGCCGAAGGGAAAGATCACGCTGCCGGTCACATTTGGCAGCGAGCTGAACTTTAGAACTGAGAGGGTCACTTTTGACGTTGCCGACTTTCCATTACCCTACAATGGGATCCTTGGCCGTCCAGCGCTGGCCATGTTCATGGCAGCCTCTCACTACGCATACAACATGCTCAAGATGCCAGGCCCGATAAGTGTCATCTCTGTCCCCGGCGACAAGAAGGACGCCCTTATCTGTGCCGACAAGATCTACCGGGAAGCAGCAGCCGCAGCAGAACGCAGGACACTTGCCGCTGAAGCTCCCGGAGGGAAGAAGAAGACTAAGTCCGGCAAGAGCTCTGATGCCCACTCCGGCAAGCGCACCTCTTCAGAGTGCTGCGCTACCGTCGAGGACGCACCATCGAGCTCCACCGGCAAGTTTAAGAAGACGATGGCAGCTCTACCAGAGACCAAGAAGGTGTCCGCCAAGGAGGACGGCACTGGTGGTACCTTCACCATCAGTGCCACTCTCGACCCCAAATAGGAAAGCGCGCTCGTTGCTTTCCTGCGGGTGAACTTCGACGTGTTTGCATGGCAACCGTCTGACATCCCCGGTGTTCCCAGGAAAGTGATTGAGCACCACCTAGCCATCTGTCCTCATGCGCGGCCCGTCAAGCAGAGAGTCAGGAAGCAGGCAGTAGAGCGCCAAGAATTCATCGCAGAAGAAATCAAGAAGTTGGAAGCAGCAGGCCTTGTCAGAGGAGTGCTCCATCCCACGTGGTTGGCCAATCCTGTTGTTGTGCGCAAGGCTAACGGGAAATGGAGACTTTGTATTGACTTCACTGATGTTAATAAAGCTTGTCCCAAAGACCCATTTCCCTTGCCGCGTATTGACCAGATTGTTGACTCCACAGCCGGATGTGATTTGCTTTCATTTCTTGATCATACTCAGGATACCATCAGATCTTCATGGCAGAAGAGGATGAAGAGAAAACCGCATTTATCACCCCGTGTGGCACGTACTGCTTCGTATGGATGCCTTTCGGTTTGAAGAATGCTGGATCAACATTCGCAAGGGCAGTCCACCATGCCTTTGAGCCGCAAATGCACAGAAATGTGGAAGCCTACATGGATGATATAATGGTTAAGAGCAAGGACAAGGCTACCCTGATTCAAGATCTAGATGAAACTTTTACAAATCTGCGCAAAATCAACCTCAAGCTCAATCCCGAGAAGTGCGTGTTCGGAGTCCCTTCCAGCAAGCTTCTCGGGTTCTTTGTGTCACAGCAGGGGATTGAAGCCAATCCCGACAAGATCAAAGCCATCAAGCAGATTGAAGCACCAAAGCGCGTCAAGGATGTACGAAAGCTTGCCGGTTGCGTGGCTGCTCTCAGCAGGTTTATCTCTAAGTCCGCAGAGCGCGCCTTGCCGTTTTTCAAAATATTGAAAAAGGCAGGTCCGATGAAATGGACTCCGAAAGCGGAGGGCGCGCTACAAGACTTAAAGAGGTACCTGTCCTCCACTCCAATACTTGTCGCACCTAAGCCACAAGAAAAGTTGCTGCTGTATCTAGCAGCAACCAATCAAGTGGTTAGTGCTGCGTTAGTAGCGGAGAGGGAGGCGGACGATGAGCCGGCAACCGCGGCAAGTGAATCCAGCGACAAGCAGGGGGCTTCTCCGACAAACTCTGGTCCCGACAAAGATGGATCTACGCAGACATGCAAGGAGGTGCAGAAGAAAATGGTGCAGCGCCCAGTTTACTTTGTCAGTTCCCTTCTGCAGGGGGCTAGATCAAGGTATTCTGGCGTGCATAAATTGCTTTTCGGCCTTCTCATGGCCTCGAAAAAGCTGCGCCACTACTTCCAGGCACATGAGACAACAGTTGTCACTCGCTTTCCGTTGAAGAGGATATTGCAAAACCCAGAAGCAACAGGCAGGATTGTCGAGTGGGCACTGGAACTGTCAAGCTTTGGCCTCAAATTTGAGAGCACTTCCACTATACAGAGCAGAGCATTGGCAGAATTTATAGCGGAATGGACGCCAACACCAGATGAAGAAACTCCAGAAACGAGCATCCCCGTCAAAGAAGCAAGCAAAGAATGGTTGATGTACTTTGATGGTGCCTTCTCGCTGCAAGGCGCCGGTGCTGGCGTGCTGCTTATCGCACCCACCGAAGAGCACCTCAAGTACGTAGTTCAGATGCACTTTCCCAAGGAGCAAGCAATGAACAATACCGCAGAGTATGAGGGTTTGCTTGCCGGCCTCAGAATCGCGGCAAACCTTGGGATCAACAAGCTCATTGTCAGGGGTGACTCGCAGTTGGTCGTCCGCCAAGTAAACAAAAGCTATCAAAGCCCGTTGATGGAAGCATATGTTGATGAAGTGAGGAAGCTAGAAGAACACTTTGACGGCCTGCAAATGGAGCACGTTCCACGAGCTCAGAACGATATTGCTGATGGTCTGTCAAAGTGCGCAGCACTAAAGTTACCTGTGGAACCAGGGATTTTTGTGCTCAAGCTGACTCAACCATCCGTAACACCGTCGACTGGACAGAGTAAGAAGTGAAAGTTGGTTTCCGGTGACTACTTGCCGGCAGAGCTTCCCGAAGCCGCCGCCAAGAAGGTCCCCAAGATCGACGCCAAGAGTGCTGAGGAGCAGTCTGCTCCGGCGAACCTCTCGGTTTGTTCCGTTGAAGCAAACGCTTCCGACAAGTTTTGCTCCGGCAAGCTTGCCGGGGAACATCACGCTCCGGCCGAACCGCAGGTTCTTGCCGTAGAAGCGGATGTTCCCACAGCAACAGATATGCCTTTAGCCCTTGTTATCGAGCCGCAAGCTCCAGCATGGGCGCAGCAGATTGTCCGTTTTCTTCAGACAGGAGAGCTTCCCGAAGAGCAAGAAGAAGCGGAAAGAGTAGCCCGGCAGTCAAGTATGTACAAGTTTGTTGACAACACACTGTACAGAATAAGACTCAACGGTGTGAAATTGAAGTGCATCCGCCGGGAAGATGGACAACAGCTGTTGGCGGAGATACATGGAGGCATATGTGGTCACCACATTGGCGCAAGAGCACTTGCCGGCAAAGCGTTCCGACAAGGTTTCTTCTGGCCGACAGCCCTCCAGGATGCAACTGCACAAGTAACCAAGTGTGAAGCGTGCCAGTTCCATTCCAAACAGATACACCAGCCAGCTCAAGCTCTCCAGATGATCCCTTTATCCTGGCCATTTTCGGTCTGGGGGCTCGACATCCTCGGCCCCTTTCCCCGAGCTGTCGGGGGCTTTGAGTTCTTGTACGTCGCCATCGACAAGTTCACAAAGTGGCCGGAAGTGGAACCAGTGAGGAAGGTGACAGCACAGTCAGCAGTCAAGTTCTTCATGTCGATTGTTTGCCGTTTCGGGATCCCTAACAGGATCATCACCGACAACGGCACGCAATTTACGAGCCGCACCTTCATGCAGTACGTCCAAGATCTTGGCGCCAAGGTCTGCTTCGCTTCTGTTGCTCATCCGAGAAGCAACGGTCAAGCGGAGAGGGCAAATGCTGAAGTGCTGCGAGGCCTCAAGACCAGAACTTTCGACAGGCTGCACAAGTGCGGAAGAAACTGGATCGAGGAGCTGCCGGTGGTTCTTTGGTCGATCAGGACGACGCCATATCGAGCCACCGGCCAGACACCTTTCGCTCTAGTCTACGGAGCAGAGGCAGTTCTCCTCACGGAACTCGTTTACGGGTCACCTCGAGTGCTCGCTTATGATGAGCTCGAGCAAGAGCAGCTGC